ATTGGAATACAGTTTAACCGATTCTAATCCCAGGCGACGTATTCATAGCGACATCAAAGAAGGCCTGGAAGATATTACCAGGGAGGTCATGGCTTCTATTAATTCTTATTCAAGGCAACGGGGCCGCATTGTCGAAGAACGGTCTGCTCTTTACGGATACAGGAGGGTAAATTCTTACGGAGCTGATACAATATTAGATCTTCTGTTGGTTTATCGAAAGTATCGGGGCAGGAAGGTTACCCTTCCCGTTCGAAGACACGTTTACCTCCATCAACATTTTACCGGTACGATTACTCATGTTTTTTACATTTATACATGTCACAGTGTTAACTCAGTAAATGTATGCTGTAGTCAATATATACACATTTTTTTAAGTGTATACATTTACTAAAGTTAACACTTTAACTGTGACGTATATACAGAGAAATTATTATATTAAAAATTAATTAATCTTTTAATATCCACAAGACATATTTTTCTGTCCTGAGTTAAATAATAATGTTACAGATATTCGTAAGCGTTAACCAAAATATAGACATCCTCTAATGTTTAAGTAATTAAATCAGAGTACATTTGTTTGAAATATAAAATTGTAATTGCTCTACCGAAGAAGTAACATAAACTGTAATTTATTGAGTTATGATTTTATACATATACAGCCATTTTAATTAAAATAAAAGATTTCGTTAGGTTCTAACATAATTGAGAAAATTTATGATAATATATGAAGAAATATTATTGAAGTAAAGCCGCTATTAAGTACTAGCTTAAATTTAACAGACATTAAATGTTCTCGCAGGATTGGAGATGCGCGAAACAGTAAATGGCGTTGAAGTTCAACCTCGACAGAAATCAGACGACAAATCTATTCATAGTTTACTCCACGGTGGCTTTCTGAATTTCAATTTCAACTCTCAAGAGGAAGATCCGGTGCAAAGCAAGACCATCAATTTTATTCTACCTCTGTCAGGCCGCTACGAGATCTTCCAAAGGTTTCTCCAGAATTATGAGGATATCTGCTTGGCTAGCGGCGAGAAGACGTCATTGCTCGTCGTACTCTACCAGCACAAAAGTGAGAACACCTTCAACAAAACAATAGATCTGATTGAGCAGCTCAAGTACAAATATCGCAGTGCCAGCATGGAAGTTCTACCGGTCTCCGGGGACTTTTCAAGAGCGCGAGCTCTGGACTTGGGCGCATCGAAGTTGCAGACCGATGATCTAATGCTGTTCATCGACGTGGACGTCGTATTCACGGGCTCAGCGCTGAACAGGATACGCCTGAACACGCTATCAGGCCGAAGAATATATTTTCCGATAGTCTTTAGTCAATATGATCCCAAAGTCGTTTACGGCGACGCCAAGAAGCAAGACAAGTTTATCATAAACGAGATCTCCGGACACTGGAGGCAGTACGGTTTCGGAATAGTTTCACTGTACAAGAGTGATTACCGTACTGTGGGCGGTTTGGATCTCTCGATTCAGGGCTGGGGCAAGGAGGACGTGGAATTCTTCGAGAAGGCAGTTAAGTCAAGCCTCGATGTCTTCAGGGCAGCGGACAGGCATCTGGTGCACGTATATCACGAGATAGAGTGCAGCAGAGAGCTCTCTAGTCTCCAATTCTCCATGTGCATGGGATCCAAGGCTGATACGTATGCCGGAGTTGAAACTTTGGCCAACATGATTTACAGTAACTCAAACATGCTACGCTTCGCCAAAGAGAGGAGACAGAAGAGGACGAACCCTGCTGGTTAATAATGGATCTGCTAAATTGGAATTATCGGCTGTTGAATATAATTATTTTATTAGAAATCGTAGGTGAAATTGTAAAAATATTTTTTTTCATTACGCACTCGCCTCGATAGTGACTTCAGTTACGCGACTGTAACATCGAAGGGAACTGAATCATGAACTTTTCGGGTGCCAGAGTATCGTTAGTCATAACTGTTTGTGTAAATATGGAGTACGTTTGTCTGAGTCACGCAAGCAAATAAAAAAATCAATACTGATATTTTATTGTATGACGAAATGTATATCGAAGCTTTAATCGAGAAAACAATTTTCTAAGTTTGATCAAGAAATATGGTGTCACGATTTTCGAAGGCAGCTAATCGAAGAAAATAGATAGAAAACAGATAGATCTGGTGATCGATAAAGATTATCAAAGTCATTGCAGGCATCCGCGGTGAAAAAATATTGAAAATATTGATAATATCTCATATATTTTTTTACAATTTTTTTATATTTTAAATTCATAAAGCTTTCTAAAAAAATCTCAAAATTCTTTAAATTTTGTAAGTTTTCTTCAAAAATTGTAAAATAAAAAATATTTTAATGTGTTCATAATTCACGTATATAAAGAATTTTTAAAAAAGATGTAAACTTCTTCAATATTCTTAAAAGTATTTCAGATCAAATAATCTGAAAAATTTGTTAAAAAATTAAATATTACATAAAAATTATGAAAAATTATAAAATTTATATAAAAATTTTGAAGAGTCATATAAAGAATTCTAAGAAAAATTTTCACCGAGGATGCTAACAAAATTATTAGGTTAAAAAAATATGTATAATGATACAGTTTTCGTCGTTAGTTTATGTGATGATATTATCTTCTATGCCTGATCTTTTCTTTTAGCTTTCTTGAGGCTAAAAACAAACAAATGTCGTTCTCTTTTGCAAATGCAATTGCCAACAGTCTACAGAAATCACGCGTAATGACAAGCATTTATAAAATCGTCAGCCTAGATAGTAAATTTAAGTCTTATAAGTAAATGTGATATTATCGTGCCTTTAAAATATTTCTTCATAATTTTATGTGTACTGCCAAATGTAAACACACCGTTACAAATATTTCGATATAGATGTAGATACTCCTAAATTGTCGCATTACGCGCTTTGCATTTTATGTCATACACTTACACATAAAAAATCCTGTCTGCAATAATTGGAGTAATACTCACGCTTTACTGAATAAAATTCTTATGTTAAATAATAATATCATTTTTAATATTTGTCGTTCTTTAAACTTACATATATAAAAAAACACACCTCGGAAAATCTTTCTTGGATGTCATTATTTTAAACGAAGTATTTAATTATTTGATACATAATATCTATATAAAACGTTATTAAAACAATATTTATACTTATTTATTAATTTACACATCACATAATCAATTTATTTATTACAATATCATAAAAGCATTTAATTGGTATCTTAATATTTTAAATATATTTTGAGCATTTTTCAGTTTTATTTAGATATACTTTTATCTTTGCAAATTAAAAAAAATATACATAATAAATATTCTTCAAATTTCAATATAACTGTTTATTTTAATACGATTGTAATTTTTCTAATTGACGCAATACTGCAGCCTTCATTGTTATTTAAAAATATTATTATAAGTAGAATCTAGATAAATAAAAAATGATTTTATTAAGACCACCCGTAACGTGTGAATACACAACAAGTAAGAATATTAAAGTAAAAATATAACGGTCGAAGCTAGATCTTTATAAATTTTATATATATACTATATATGTGCATATATACCATATTTGTAGTCATTAAAATTTGCTCGTCAATTTAATTTAATTTGTGATATTATTACAGTAGTTTAATTGCATTTATAAGTCCGGAAAATCAATTCGGCGCGCAGTTGGAATGACTAAATATGGTATATATGCATGTGTATATATAGTATATATATAATTCACATTGAATTATTTAAGTATTAAAGATCTAGTTTCGACCGTTATAGATTTTAATATTTTTACTTGTGTATTCTAAACAAATCTTTCTGGATATGTATGAAATCGTGGAATTAATTAATTCTCTCTCTCTCTCTCTCTCTCTCTCTCTCTCTCTCTCTGTTTGGCCTCAATATATTATTATAACTTTCTTATCAATATTTAAAGTAAGTGCCGTAAGTGGTATTAAAAAATCGATCATTTATCGAATTCGATTTGAGAAGATTGGAGTTTCTGGGAAACTCTCTGTAATCTGAAGCGCAAAGCAGGTCAAACTTCAATTAAAAATAACTGCTTATGAGAACCAAGAAATAAATCGATTTAATAACTCGTACTAGATGTGATAACTTATCGAACTTTCGTTTGACGTTTGACGCAACGAAAGGAAGACAAATATAATTAGAAATGTAGCAGCAATAATTTGTAATATACATTTTGTTTGATGATAGATAATAACTTAAAATATTACTTCGTGGAAGAATAACGCGATGTTTCCTTATATTGCACCACGAGTCTTCAGAACTGACATTGTTATTGAACTATAGGCAACAAATATTATATAATAGTACTTATTACATCACTGCGCGAAATAAAATGTTCTGCTAAGTGTTAATTATATTAGAATGACATATCTGATCGTTTCGCGGTAAATAAATTATGTATGCAGCATGGTTTTTTTCCAAGTTTATAAAACATAATATATCGCATTGATTAATAATTGTAATATAAAATTAGAAAATATTTCTCTTCTTTCTTTGATTTAATTGATATAAAAAAATAAAATATGAAATATCTGATTTCATATTCTGATTTTTGTACCTTTAATTTTTATGGGTTGTAAAATAGGTCTCTCTGTAAGCTGTATCTTTACTAGTGATTTGTCTTCGTGATTTAAGAATCTCAAGACTTTCACGTATATGGCAAATTTCACTGAAAAGGGACTGCGTTGTTTTTATCAAAGAGATCAATAGCTCAGAAAATCTTCGATTCTATTATCTTATGTTTGTCTTAGAGAGCATTAATGATCTCTTCGAGAACATCATTCTTATTGGATATGAAATTCTCTACTTGTGGAAGCCATCTGCAGTAATAAGGCAAAACGAAACGAGATCGTGATGACGCGTAAAAGCGAAGAGATGGTCTTATCGGCTTGAATCTCATTACGGCGTGGGTAGATAATAGCGTATATCGCTCAAGCTCAAGGTCATTTTAATCGTCCGCGGCATTAGTAACAGACGACGCATTTATAAGACAGAGTAATTCCACATGACTTCTCAGTACGATCGTTGTCAACACCTTGAGTCATATTGCGCTTCGGAAAGAAAACGCGAGGTTGTGTCAATTTACCTCAGTTTCGAACAGAAAAGCGAGTAATTAAACTGAGCAGCCGGTATTACTCGAGTATAGTTCTTTATTAGAAGTGGTAATGACAAACAACGATTAAAGTTATTAAAGTGCCGAATCACATCGGAAAATAAAAAATATCTTTATCAGTTAATATCTTCTTAAACATTTATTGTAAATGTTTACAAGATCACACTACCTACAAGATTACAAAGTATTGAGACTTAAGCTTAAACTTCATTGGATTATCCAACAATTGAATAATTCTTCAAAAACAATATAAAATTACCGTTGGATTACTTCTTCTCGCAAGTTAGTTGCTTAATTAATCTCAGAGCAACCACTCAATTAGTGATTCAAGAAAGACAAACTAAGTAGTCTCAGCGAATATTCATTCCTATATTAAAGAATGAAAGGAACGTTGATAATCCTATTCGTTTTAATGGCCGTAATTGTCCATTCGCCGGTGGAGGGGAAGATATTCGAGCGATGCGAAGCTATAAAAGAGCTGCAGAAAGCTAAAATCAGTAGGACCTTCTTCAGCAACTGGATCTGTCTGATGGAAAGCGAAAGTGGGATGAACACCGCACTGATGACTGGTCCAAAAACAGCCTCCAGCTATTCTTATGGTATTCTTCAGATCAACAGTAACAAGTGGTGTGCCAGAGGACGTACAGGTGGCAACTGTAATAAACGCTGCGAAGATTTCCTGAACGATGATATACAGGACGATATTACGTGTGCCAAGAAAATCGTCGATCTCGACGGATTCAAAGCTTGGGATGGATGGATAAAAAAGTGCAAGAACAAACCGCTACCGGACATTTCAAACTGTATACGTAGGAGAAGAATGGCCGAGATAGAGATCGATCCGATTTTGTAATGAGTGGGTGATTGTAACGCTGTTGGACACATTGACTGTAATCGATACGAAGAGCTTAAATAAATTTTGCTTTTAATTTTCTCGCTTCTATAAAGTATTTGCATCTCTTGTAATCTTTCACGACTTAAATTTTAGAAATTTATGTAATCGATTCCATCAAATTGTATTCCAACAGATTTACATATTTGTTTCTATTAAAGAATCTTTCTAAATGTGCATATCGTACCCAATCAACGCAATAAAGACAAAGTATGTTAGTATGCTTTATAAATATGGATCTAAACTGATTAGATCGGTGCTACTTATGATTCATTACATCCGTTTAAAACCCACGCTGCTTGGCTTAACAGACGACACTATAATACAGGCGAAACTAATTTAGAAATTTCGACTGTTAGAATTACAAAACCGTAATGAGATTTCGCCGGTGTCTTTCCGATTTTATTTTGTAAGAAGATTGCTTTTGCTCCCAAGTTCATGCGTGAAATAAAATATATTCCGCTAAGCGTTAATTACAATATATTAGAAAGCTGCATTAGATCATTTTGCGCTAAACAAATATTAACTTCAAATTAATTTTTTAAAAGATGATAAAAAATGTGTGTCAAAAGTACACTGAAAAAAAATATAGTCAATTTTAATAAATATTTAGTTCAATACTGCCAACTAAACATTTCTTACAGTAAATAAATATTTTGGTAAAAGTTCCGATTAGGGGACTC